TCCCTTTCCTCTCCCTGAGCCTCCTGCTCACATCATTCCCTGGTAACATAGCCTGTTGCCTGCTTATTCAAATCCTGAGTTTCAGCTGCTCTTCCAGGAGAGCTAATTCGTCTCTCTTGGTTTGTGTTTCATACAGGTATTACGCCAAGCAGCAGCAGTCGGACCAGGACTCCAGCCTCCATTAATGCTACTCCAGCTAACATTAACCTGGCAGGTCAGTGCAGGCCTTTCCTGGTTGGAACTGGGACGCGAGTTCCTCATCCAAGCTCTGCTTTGTCTAAGTGGTGGATCTTTCTTGCAGACCTGACCCGTGCAGTGAATGCCCTGCCACAGAACATGACTTCCCAGATGTTCAGTGCCATTGCTGCTGTGACAGGCCAGGGACAGAATCCAAATGCCACCCCTGCACAGTGGGCATCCAGTCAGTATGGCTATGGAGGCAGCGGAGGCGGCAGCAGCGCGTACCACGTAGGTGTCACTTAAGTGTAAAGGTTGGACCAGATGGTCCCCTTTCTGACCTGGTATTCTGTGCTTCTATGAGGTTCATGAGAGGAGGTGCTGCATGGCTTCTCTTTGTTGCTAGAAACCATCCCATAGGGGCTCCACTGGGAGCCTCAGAGGTTACTTGTTACCTGGGTCCTAGTTGTGGTACCCAGTGGGAGCCTGGCTGGGTTCTTGTACCAGGCTTCCTCTTGCCTTCTGTGGCTGAAGAAAGAGGTCCCTAACACAGCCCTGCTCTGGGGAGAGGGAAGCAAGTAGCAGGCTGGGTCTGGCCCCTAAGGAATGTGGCAGGGTGGAGAGGTGGGATCCAGCAGTGAGGGTGCACAACCTCCTGATTGTGCCCCTGAACTGGCAACGTGAGCTGCCAGGGGAAGAGATTAGCTGTGAAACTATGTGCTGAGTTTGCAAGGCTTTTCAGCTCAGTGTGCTAATCTCTGAGCTGCACCAGCAGGAGAACACCTCAGCCTGACCCAACACCCAGGGGCTTTTTAGGGAATAAGATGGAATTGGACAGTTTCAGCTTACACTGAAGCCTTTCCTCATGTGTGCTGGTGCCTGCCTCCTCCCAGCCCACACTGCCAGCTCCATCAAGGCTAAATCCAGCTGCAGAAGAACTGGGTACAAAAAACACACCCAGACCTTATGAAGAGGTGCTGCAAGACAAGGCTTGCAGGGAGGAGTGATCCTCTTTTAGACCACCTTGGGAGGCTTTCATGGAGTTTGGCACAGCCAGCACTGGGGAGAGGCAGGGACTGTGCATAACCCAATGTGTTAATCATCAAGACAATCTGAAGGAAAAGAGAGATGAATACTGGGAGGCAGAGACTAAACACTCCATTGGGCTGAGCCAGCCAGCTTGAGATCTGGGAAGGAGCCATCTCGGAAGCTGCTGTGCTCACAGGGTTCTTCAAGCCCACTGTGGGACATCATTCCTGCTAGCTTGCCCCAAGTGTCTCTTGTGCCCACCTCTTGCAGCCCTTACCTCTGCTTGTACCCTGTGTGGGGTGAAGAAGAAAGGCAGGATGTGGTGGCCAGGTTGGGTGGGTGATCAGGAGATCTCAGGGGCACAAATGCCCTGTGCTCAGCAGGGTGTTGTTCCTTCTGCCCTGCAGTCCCCATTCCCCGGGCAACAGTCACTGGGCAACAATCCCTGTAAACTTCTCCTTGCCCAGATGAGGGGCTCCAGCAGGGCTGGGAGTGCACGGTGAGGACGTGCACCAGGCTCCTGGGCAAGCAGGGCAATGCAGAGCCCAGCAGGTTTTGCCCCTCTGTTCTAACACCATCTGCTCTCTGCAGGTCTTCACAACTCCAGCACAGCAACCGGTGGCCACCCCTCTGATGACCCCCAGTTACTCCTACACTACCCCCAGCCAGCCGATCACAACGCCCCAGTACCAGCTCCAGGCCAACACCACACCCCAGTCCACCCAGTCCCAGACACAGTCCCAACCATCATCCAGCTCCAGGCAGAGGCAGCAGCCAAAGTGAGTGGTCCCAGTGCTGGGTGCACATGTATCTGCGTGTCCCATCCTGATTTCTGTGTGGTGGGCTTGCCTTGCACCTTTCCTGCATGGGATCCCTTGGGGAGGGAGGGCTTGGAATGTCTCCTACCATGTGCCTGACGTTGTGCCTGTGTCATCGCAGGACCACCAATCACGCTGCCATCGACTGGGGGAAGATGGCCGAGCAGTGGCTGCAGGAGAAGGAGGCTGAGCGGAGGAAACAGAAGCAGAGGTTGACTCCTCGCCCGTCTCCCAGCCCCATGATCGAGAGCACGCCCATGTCCATCGCTGGGGATGCCACACCACTGCTGGATGAGATGGATCGATAGGTGCTGCTGGGCCTGACCTGACCCCTCCACTCTCTTCTAGGAAGGGGAGAAGAGAGTGAACAGTTGAAAACACCTTCTCTTCCCTTAGCCGCATAACTCCTGTTTTATACATCGTGGGAAGTGACTCTTAGTGACGTGCACCTGAGCAACTGAATAGACTTGGCAGGGCTGGTCTAAATATATATACTATATATAAAGAATTATATCATAGGAAGGGACACTGCAGTGGTCTCTGTGTTCTAGGCCCTGGTTCACCATTTGGGAAGCTCGGCAAAGTAATTCTGATGTCAGATGAGTCTGTTCTTGTCCATGCGCAGCAGTTCTGCTCTCACCACAAAGACTAGGAAGCAAACGTAGCTGGAAGTGCAAACCATGGGCCTAGAGTTGAGCCTGTTACACCTGGATTCTCCCAAACCCTGACTGTCATCTCCCCGAGCCCTGAGAGCACAGAAACCACAGGGCTTGTGTCAAGCAAACCCAAGTTCTCAGTTTCTGTGGTTGGTTTGCTCCACGGTTTCATGCTCTGCCAACCCCTGGCTGTGTTCATCGGGGTCCAGCACAGCAGCGCTGGAGCTCGAAGTCTTGCTCTCGTACCAAAGGCTTGCTCCTTCCTTTGGCTTCTTTTTGGAACAATATTTATTTAGTTTTGATTTCTGATTTCTTTTCTAATCAGACTGCAAAGCAGCAGCCACCAGGAGCCATCCCAAGCACGGGACAGACACGTGGGGCTGGAACGCAGCTGCTCCTATGGTGGAGAACACGAAGCAGCCTGGCGTGCATGGCATCCTGCTCCGTATCTGCTTAACCCTGCCCACTTGTAACCAAGAGGGGTGAATAAATAGTGTTTCTACTGAGCTCTAGCTGAGAGCTTTCCTGCCTGCAGCCCGTGCTGCCTGCCTGCCCTCTCCTCTTAGTGATGGATTTGCTTAGAAGCGGAGTTCAGTGGTGGAAGTGGATGCTCCTTCTTCCTTTTGTTGCTTGGAGCGTGCTGAAACTCTCCTGGAGAAGCTGATTTCTGTTGTGCTGATGAATAATGGTTCGGTTTGGATGTATCTTACAGAGACATCACATCGATATCCGGGATACCTCCTGGAATCTGGTGTCTCTCTGGCTGGGAGAGGTACTGGGGGGAGGCTTGGGAAGGGGCAGGTAATGTTGGGTAACTTTGGTCGTGTCAGAAACAGCCCACTGTGGTATTGCAGCACCGAGAGCCATTCCTGTTGCACACACTTGCCTCTCTCTTGCTTTGTTAGTAGGGATTTTCTATGGAAGCAGAGCCTTTGTTCCTTCCAAGGGCTCCTCTCTTTAGGAAGTGAGCAAGAACAGCAGATCCTAAGAAAACAAAGGTCTTTTTTGCATGTAAATGCTCCTGAAGAATGGCAGCGACCCAGGAGACAAAGCAAAGCTGTTTCCACAGAGAAATGCAGGTCCTGGCTCGGGCACCATCTCCTCTGCAGTACTGGGGGGGCTGCCACGGTGCTGTCGTCCCCCCCCCCCCCGCAGGCCGGGCTGGGGATGTGTGTGGGGCCCGGGGCTGCTGCACTTGCGGCTGTACTGACCTGAACGCTGTTTTCTTACGTCCTGAACTCCATATGATGGGAATTGGAGCGGGAGCAGCTCCTCCACAGGGAAGTGTCAGACCCAGGGCTGGGGGTTGCTTGTGCGGTGCCTGCTCCCTTTTGTTTGGCTCTCTTTTGGGTTTAGTTTCGCCCTTACCCTCAATAAAAACTCTACTTTTGGGAAGCTGCCTCCAGGCCCCAGGTCTGTGCTTGCTGTGGTGGCCACAAGGGCTTTGCACCCGTTAGCAGGGTTCCAGAGGGTGGGATTCATCCTACAGCCTTGGTGTTCCCCTGCCATGGGCTTATGTGGTCTGCTTCTTTCAGGGATTGGGGATTGCAATGTGTGGTCCTTTGGGAATAGCGGGGTTTGTGTGGAGCAGCTTTGCTCTCTGGGCTTCTGTCTGATCTTCCAAGGATGTGTGGCAAGATGGGAGACAGAGCTCCTGTTGCTCCAGCTTGTTCCTGTTGTGGAATGTGGTGTGGGGAGATGTTTCTCCTGCTCTCGCTGGGGATGCTGGGCTGAGCCATGCTCCTCGCTCAGAAGCACTTTGCAGGGTGTTATCCTGGTTATGAGCAAGGGGAACAAGCCCGGGGGCAGTCACCATCCATGGACATGGGCAGCGCCTGCCTTTATCCCAGGGCTGGAAAAGCTTTTGTTGTCCCACTTCAAAGAGCATTTTTATGGGGTTTGAGGAGACAAGGTCCCCATTCCTCGCTATTGCTGGGGGCATTGGTGCCAGTGTGGGAGCCCTGGGACAAGGCTGTGGGTTGGGTGGAAGAGATGGGGTGATGCAATTCATGGACAGGTCCCCCAGAGAAGAGCAGCCCTGTGGGCTGGGACTTGCAGCTCTATAGCAGGGGAGATGAACCAGGGCTCTGCCCCATGCTGGTGTGGGGACAGGGGCTGTGTCCCCAGTGCCCAGGCTGATGGCACAGGTCAGTAGGAGCAGCAAAGAGCAGCTCAGAGCCCTTCAATACCCCCCCCCCCCCCAGTTCCAGATGCTCCCTTCCCACATCCCCACAAGTGGGATCAGCCCCAGGATTTCCCTGGATGCTGTCCCCGCTGTGATGTTCCCTCCCCAAGGAGACAGGACCGAGGCAGCTCCATCTGCTTGAGCAGATGTGACTTTATTACAGAGCCAGGACCCGCACGGGGGCATCAGGACCGCGGCTCTCGTGCAGGCTGTGCCTCAGCTCTGCCCTTCAGCCTCTTCTTCCTGTTCCTCTCCTTCCTCCTCCTCTTCCCGCTGGTTGTTGGAGCCGGGGATGCCGTGGCTGGTGCTGGATCCCTGCCCAAGCCTTCCTGCACCGGGGCATCGCTCAGGATGGTGTTGGCTGCTTCCAAAGGCAGCAGTGGGACCCATGGATCCTGCCCTGCAGTGGGATGAGGTGGGACAGCGGCTGCAGCAGCGCTCAGCTCCATGTTTCCAGAAGAGCTTTTCTTTCTCAGACCTTTCCCCTTCTTCTTGTCTGCTTTCTTCCTTTTCCTTTCCTCCTTGGCTCTCTTGCGGGATGAGGGGGGGTGTGCAGGCACATCCCTTGGGACGGCTCCTCCATCAGTGCTGCTCCATGGAGGGCTCAGAGGGACCCCCACGGGCCTGGCTGCCCGGTCAATGAGCTCCCCCCCGAACTCATACATCACCGGCTCCCTGGGCACCGCGATGGCCACTGTGTTGTACGCCTTACACCTACAAAGAGGAGACACTGAATGAGGTGACCCCCGTGGGGCTGAGCAGGGGGGCAGTCCCCATGGCGGGGGGGGCACTCACCAGACATAGAGGTAGGGCTCCACACACTCCTCCCTGTAGGTGAACTCAAAGCAGGGCACTTGGATGACATTGAAGAAGGCCTGACCCACCACTCGTGAGGCTGTGTCATTCACCCGCTGCAGGCACTCCTTTAACCTGCCATAGGCAGAGCTGGGCTGAGGGAGGATTCCAAGGGGCTGGAAACTCTTTTCCCCCTGTCCAGGGATGCAGGGTTGGAGGGATGCTGGGGGATGCTCACCTGCGGTCGCAGTCACAGTGGCTGATGGTGTGCCAGCGCAGGTTGCGGTACCCATAGCGTGCAGTGAAGGGGTGGATGACGTGCTGGCAGTGGTCATGGTCCCGGCAGCACCGGTCCGTGTCCCGGTGCTCCCCTAAAGGGAGGGAAGATGGGGTTCGGGAATGGCTGGGATCGGGGCTGGGCTGCCATTAGGTTAGGTTAGGACTGGGATCAGTGTTAGAGTGGGCTTAAACAGGGCTGGAATCATACTGGGACGGGGACTGGGGCTGCAGCAGCACCACAGTGCGGATGAGACTGGGATAAGGATGGGACCAGGACCAAAAGAGGGACTAAGATAGAGTCAGGATAAGGACTGGGAGGGAACCAGAATGGGAGCAGGATGGACTAGGGATCAGGCTGAGGACAGAGGGTAGATAAAGGCTGGACCAGCACCAGGATGGGGACAATGATGGGACCAGGATGGACCAGCCTTTTGATGGAGTCTAGGCAAGGGTGAACTGGGACTGGACAGGGGCAGACAGGGATTGAACTAGTATAGGGGTGGGGACTTGAGTGGAACAGTACTGGGATGGGACTGGACTAGGATGGATGGGGACTGACCCAGCACTGGGCTGGGAACTGGGATTGGGCTGGGGTGGAGCAACAGCAGTCTGGAGATGGGACGGGAAGGGATAAGAAGGAATGGGAAAGGATGGAAACGGATGGGAAGGGCTGGGATGGGAAGGCAAAGGAAAAGAACTGGAAGGGAAGGAAAAGGGTAAAAAGAAGGGAAAAGGTGTAAAGGAATGGGAAAGGTTGGGAAGGGAGGGGAATGGGTGGGATGGGAAAGCATAAGAAGGGATGCGATGGAACACGAAGGGAAGGGAAGGGTTGGAAAGGATGGGAAAGGATGCGATAGAACGGGAAGGGATGGGACGGGACGGGGCAGGGATGAGCCGCCCTTACCCAGCTGCTCGTAGGCATCCGCGTTGCTGCCGGCTCCGCACCACAGCGTGCCGGGGTAGGTGAGCCCGCGGCGGGCGCGGGGCCGCCCCGCTCCGGTGCCGGGGGCCGCTCGGGGGGCGGCTGCCGAGAGCAGCAGCAGCAGCAGCAGCAGCAGGAGGCAGCGGCGGAGCAGCCCCGGGTCGCGCATGGCCCCGCGCCCTTCACCGCCCTGCGCCCTCCTTATAGCCCCGCGCAGCCCGCCCCGCGGCGCGGATTGGCACCGTGCGGAGGGTCCCGGAGAGCCGGGTGCTGGAGCCGGGCCCGCGGGGAAGGGGTTACCCCGCCCGGTGGGGCCGGGCCGGGCCGGGCCCCGTTGCTGTGGCAGCCGGTGGGGTGATGCGCGGGGACCGGTAACACAACGAGCCCGCCCCGTGACGCGCCGGACCCCGCGCGACCCCCGGCCCCAATGGGACAAGGATGAGCCCCATAGCCCCGGGTCCTGTCCTACAGATGCTCCCTGCATCCCAGCCCATGGATGTTCCCTGCATGCCGTTGTGCAGATGCTCCTAGCTGCTCCACGTCCTGTCCCGTAGACGTTTCCCGCATCCCATCCCATGGATGCTTCCCACATCAAGTCCCATGGGTGCTACCCACGGCTCCACATCCCGTCCTATATTCTCATTCTCCACAGCCCCATGCCTCATCCCATGGATGCCCCATGGTGCCTTCCCAAGGGGCAGCCCCCGTGCCCATGCACGACTGGCAGCCCACAGGCAGCTCCCCACACCACTGCCAGGACTTGTCCCCTTTAGCCAGCTCCCAAGCCACGGATCCCATTGATATTCCAGGCATGGTCCTGGCACATTGGGCAGCCGATGGAGCCAGTGCTTGGCATGGCAGGACAATGCCCCAACACCCCACGGGGACGTGCATGGCTTAAGAAAGTCCCCTCACCCCCAAGACCCCATAGGAGTGCACGGCTGCACCCTGCGCATCCCCCCGGTTTGCTGACCCTTGTGCCAGCCTTGGTGCAGAAGGCTGGGTGCTGGTGACACCCCAATGCTCCCCACCACGCCCTGGCCTTGCTGCGACAGCGGATCCCAGTGGGTGCCCATCCCAACCCATGGGCCTGGCAGTGGTTCAGGGCCCGGCTGACCGAGGGTGCTGGCGGGGGCCCAGCACCGCAGAGGCTGTTCCTGCTCAGCTGTCGCTGTCTGTGACGCTCCCCATGACGGTCCCATCGGCTCAGCCTCGCCGCCAGCACCCAGGTACGGAGCGCACGGGGACCTTGGGGTGCCCACGAGTGGTTGCAATGGAGGCCACGGGGGGCTCTGTGCTGTGGGGAGCCCCACGGGGTCTGTGGGTGTGGGATCTCCCCCCTGTTGCACGCTCAATGCTCGCAGTGCCTGCGGTGCCTGCGCATGGACCTGTGCCACGTCCCTGCCACCCAGGAGAAGGGCTGGTACCTGGCGCTGATGGCCCCCAACGTCAAGGGTCCCAACTACGCCTGGCTGGACCCATCCCGGCTCTACTGCCACCCGCAAGTACCCAGCACCCCGTGGCGGTGGCACCCATGGGGGGGCTGGGGTGGGCTGCATCTCTGTGGGGGTGCCGGGGCACCCAGCCGTGCCCATGGATGCTGGCACAGGGGCTGTGGGCACCCAGCACCTCTGTTCCCTCCCCAGGGCTTGCAGGACTGCGTGGCCGACCTGCTGCAGCCCTTCCAAGGAGACCCCATTGACATGGTGGCCGGTATTGATGCCATGGGCTTCATCCTGGGTGAGCGGGGACGTTGGTGAGCCCAGGGTCCCTGCCTCTTGTCCCTGGGGGGGGGATCTGACAGCGCCGTGCCCTACCCCAGGCTCTGCCGCTGCCGCTGTGCTGCAGAAAGGCTTCCTGGCCATCCGCAAAGCCGGGCACCTCTGCGTGCAGACGGCGGCACAGCCCTACACCGACTACTCGGGCAGGGAGAAGGTGATGGAGGTCCGCACCGATGCCATCTCGCCCGGTGAGCCCGTGGGGCGCTGCTGCCTTGGGTTGAGGGGCTGCCGGTGCGGGGAGCGGGGCGCTCAGCGCAGCCTCTGCCCCGTGCCAGGTCTGCGCATCCTCCTCGTGGACCAGTGGATTGAAACCGGGGGCACCATGAGAGCGGCCATTCAGCTGGTGGAGCGGCTGGGGGGGGTCGTGGCAGGTAGGGTGCGCCCATGGGTGCAATGGGGCTGCCATCCCCATACCCCGTGGTGGCTCTTCCCGCTCTGTGTCCCCACAGGCGTCGCTGCCATCTGCATCGAGGACAGCGAGGGTGGCCGATGGATCCAGGAGCGCTATAAGTGCTCCCACTGCGTCCCCCCGCGCCTGCAGCCCCGCTTCAACCACCATCAGTTAGGCTGGAACTGATGGGGCCGGCTCCATGTGTGCCCTCTGCATCCCACATGGGGCACAGGGATGTTGGCTCTATAGGACGGGGATGTCCAAGGCACCCATCGCCTGTTCCCAACCTCTCCTGGGTGACAGCCACCATCCTCCCCTGCTCCATCCTCCCTGCTGGATGCAGGCTGCACCCAGGGCCAGTGGAAGCCGCAGCCGACCCAAAACCTTCCTTAAAAGCCCCAAACCTTTCTTAAAAAGCATAAAAAAAGGTTTTATTAAGACAAACAGGAGCCCGGGGGCACCTCCCCGTGCGAGTACCTGTGTTTGCATAGCGAAGGGAGCCGCGCTGCTCCTGCCCACCCCAGCCATGGGTGCCCATGCTGGGCAAGCCAAGGGGGGGACAGCAGGGATGGCTCCTTGGGGCCAGCCGGGGCCACCCCTCTTTGGTCCAGAGGTGTGAGCGTGGGGGGGTCCCTCACTGGCAGCACTTGGGTTTCTTGCGGGGTGCTGATAGGTACAGGTCGCTCTCATTGCTGCTGATCCCTAAAGGGGCAAGGGGAGAGTGTTGGGATGGGGACAGTGGGGGATGCCAGCACAGAGAGGGGGCAACGGGGGACACTGGTATGGTGCTGGTGGGGGGTACTCACGCACGGTGTCACCGATCCTGCGGGCGCTGCTGCGCTCCAGCTCAGCCAACACACTGCTCTCGAAGGTCAACGCAGCCACGCGGAAGAAGAAATCCCGCACGTTCTCCCCTGTCCCATGGCGTAAGAACCCCACTGAGTGTCCCCCATCACCCAGCGGGATGCTGGGGTCTGCATCCCCACACACACACACAGCCGGGGACCCACCGGTGAGGGAGGAGACAGCCCAGTACTCTGCCTGCATCTCCTGGGCCACCTTGAGAGCATCCTTCTCCATCTGGTTGTACTGGGCTGGTGTCTGTCAATGAACCAAGAGGTGGATGGGTGACAGGGACACGCACCCTGAGCACAGGGAGCCCATGGGAAGGGGGGCACACTCACGCTCAAGTCCTTCTTGGAGCCCACCAAGAAGAGGATCACGTTGGATGGGTCATTCTCCTTCAGGGCATCAGCCAGCCACTGCCTACGCGAGTCACCAGCCAAGCGCTACCCTCTTGCTCGCACACTCTGCTATTGCCTCCGTCCCCATGACCTCCATCCAGCCCCACCATCGCCCATCATCCCCAGTCCCACCTTGGCCATGGGTCACCTACCGCGTGTGCTCCAGGGACGCCACGTCGTTGACATCAAAGACAATCACGATGGCTGGAGGAGGGAGGAGAGGGGTGAGATGGGGATGGGGACACTGTGATGGGACAAGTTCATGGTGGGGGGGGGGGGGCCCTCACCTTGTGCTCCTCGGTAGTAGGTGGATGCGATGCACTTGAAGCGCTCCTGCCCGGCCGTGTCCCACCTTGGGGGGGTGCAGGAGGTGACTGGGGGGGGCACAGGCGTGCAGAGGGAAGGAAGGAGGGGCTGGCACCTCACTCACAGCTGCAGGCTGAAGGGCACCCCCAGCACCTCGAACCGCTCCATCTCAAAATCCACCCCGATGGTCGCCTTGTAGTTCTTGTCGAAGGTGTCCTTGCAAAAGCTGGGGCGGGGGGGAAAGGCTGTCAGCAGCCCCCCCCCTCTCACCCCATCACTGTGGGGTGCGCAGCACCAGATTCCAATTGGAATCAGGCTCAGCCCAATCGGTGCTGCTGCTCTTTTAGGAGGGGGGTTGGCTCTTGCTCTGTCCCCTCCCACCCCATTAACCCCCCCCCGGGCGGGGGCCCATTACCAGTTAACCACAGTTACCGGTTGATCAGACACGTCTTCCCCACCGAGAGGTCCCCCACCACGATGATCTTGGAGATCTTGAACCTGCAGCACAGGGGGGGGGGCTCATGGCTGATTATTGGGGGGGGGGGGGAAACAGGGAGCTCCCCTGTGCTGCCATAGGAGCAGAGGGGTTGATGGGGTTGGGGGGTGCCACCGCGCAGCCCCCCAGCACCCCACATCCCGTGCTTCCCGCCTCCAGCCGCAGCCCATCCCAGACCCCCATGTCCCCCCCCCGCGCCGCATTCCTGTGCCGTGACGCAGGGCTCGGCACACGCAAAGCAACCGAAGCCACGCGGCACCCGCGCTGGGGACCCCCAACCCCGGGGGGGGCGGAAGCCGTCCCCGTGTCACCCCCATCACCCCCACGGTGGGGACCCCCCCCCCCCCCCCCTCCGCATCACCCCCTCCTCACCCCACGGTGCCCGTCCGCTGCTCCTGGCAGGCGCTGGACACGGTGGGGTGGAAGGAGGAGCGGGCGTGCAGGGCGGCCTCCTTCCGAAAGCACTGCGGGGGGACGCGAAGGGGGACACCGGTGTGAGCGTGGGGCTCGATGAGGTCACCCCGCGGCCGGTGTCCGTGTCCCGTCCGTCCCCTGCTCACCGGGGGGAGGTCGGTGATGACCCTGTCCCTGCGGACCGGAGCCAGGATGTTCATTGTCCCGCGGGGGTGTTGGGGAGGGCTGGGTGGCTGCGGGGCAGTGGGGATGAGCCGAGGGCCACTGCGGGGCTTGGGGACAGAGGGAGAAGGGGGCGGTGATGGCCCCGTGTCACAGCTGTCCCCATGGGGCTGTCCCTGTGTCCCCAGTGGGGCTGTCCCCTTATTCCAGTTGCATCCACATCCCTGGGACGTGTCTGTCCCTGTGTTCTGGCTGTCCCCACATCCCCAAGCATGGATGTCCCCCTGTCCCAGCCCCCTTAAGCTCCCAGAGTGTGTCTATCCCCATATCCAAGCTGTTCCCATGTCCCAGCCATCCCCACATCCCAAATGTGCCCCCCAGGATATGGCTGTCCCCATATCCCAGCCATCCCAATGTCCCATCCACCCACATATCCCTAAAGTGCCATCCCAGGGCATGCCTGCCCCCAGTGTTCCCAAACTCTGTCCCCATGTCTCAGCTATCCCCACATCCCATTGCACTTCCACCCCTCATCCTTGTGTCCCACCACTCCCTACGTCCCCTAGCGTGGCTTTCCCCACCTCCCACCATCCCTGTCTCCCGGAGCAAGACCATCCCCGTGTCCCCACATCCCGCTTCTGTGCCCCTGCGCGATCCCCCACACCGCATCCCTGTCCACAACCAAGTCCTCCCCGTCCCATCCCGGTCCCCTCCGCAGGGGAATAGAGCGGGGAGGAGGGGAGGGGGGGTGTCCCCGTTACCGCGAACCTCCCGGTAACGGTAGCGATGCTCGGCGCTGCACACCCAGCCCCGGAGGAACCGGCGTCTTGGCTCCTCCCCGCCGCGGCCGCGGCGGGGAGGAGCCAAGACGCCGGTTCCTCGGGGGCTGGGTGTGCAAGGCTGCTGCCTACACGCTGGGACCCATCCATTTCCCCCCCCACACCGGGGCTCATCCCGGTCCCCACCGTCGAGGCAACGATAGGGGACCCGCTGCCGCTTAGGACTACAACTCCCATGATGCCCCACGGCGAAAACACGCGTCTACGCATGCGCGAGTGAGGCAACCAGCGAGTACTACCACTCCCGGCATACCCCGCGGCGCGGCGAGAGTTGAGGGGCGGGCTAGAGGGGGAACTCTCGCGAGATTTAAGGTTATAAGCCCCTGCGGTCTGGCGCGGGTAGCCCTTTTCGGCTTCCGCCTGGCCAAGATGGCGCCCAAGGCGAAGAAGGAGGGTGAGGGCTTGGGGCAAAGAGGGGCTATGGGGTGGTGATGGGGGTGCGTTGAGGTGGTTCCTGGGCTACGGGTGTAAACGGGGAAGGCCGGGATGAGCGGTTGGAGGGGGTAAAGGAAGCCTGGAGTCCGGTGCTGGGCTGCGGACACGTGGAGGTGGAGGGAGAGGCCTGCAGCGGTGCGGTTAGCTGAGGGGGTGAGCCCCGTTTAGGTGCTGAGGGTCTGTGGGGGGGGGAAATAAGTTCATAATTGAGGCTTTATAAGGGGAAACTTCAGTCCTTGAGCGTTTTGGGGTAGGTCTTGGTTAGATAAGGAGCGTGGGGTACTTGGTGGGGGGGGTCCTGGATCTTCATTGGAAGCCCTCCATGGATGAGATCCTTCCCCCTGGGACAAGGGGAAGCAATGGCCCGTTAGGACAGGCCGGGGAGCGGCTGCTGGCCGTGCAGATCCTGGTTGTGCTGACTGATTTGTCATCGTAGCTGTGCCTCCGAAGACAGAGGCAAAGGCGAAGGCGCTGAAGGCCAAGAAGGCCGTCCTGAAGGGGGTTCACAGCCACAAGAAGAAGAAGATCCGCACATCGCCCACCTTCCGCAGGCCCAAGACCCTGCGGCTCCGGCGGCAGCCCAAGTACCCCCGGAAGAGCGCCCCACGGAGAAACAAGTATGTGTGGGGTGCTGTGGGTGGTGTGGGGTGGAAGCAGCCCTGTGGACTTTGCTGCAGGTCTCAGGGTGAGAGCTTGCCAATGACCCATCTTGGGAGCTGGGCAGAGCCCTGGGGTGGGTTTGGGGTGCAGGTGATGATTTCAAGCGACCAAAGCCTGAGAGTTTGTGATGAGAACTTTTTTTGGCAACTGATGCACCCCAGAGAAAGCCCTTGAAGAGCAGAAATGGCTTCTTCCAGCCTTCTGTTAACCACAGGGTTTCTCTCCTGCAGGCTGGACCATTATGCCATTATCAAGTTCCCTTTGACCACAGAGTCTGCCATGAAGAAGATAGAGGATAACAACACCCTTGTTTTCATCGTGGATGTCAAGGCAAACAAGCACCAGATCAAACAGGCTGTCAAGAAGCTTTATGATATTGATGTGGCCAAGGTCAACACATTGATTAGGTGAGAAGAGGGGGAGAATAGGTCATTGGTGGTGATTGAGCTCTATGGTGGTTCAGTGTTAAAGCTTTGAGACATGCACTTTGTGACTGAGCACATCTCAGTGGGAGTGGGAGACGGTGGCAGACCAAAGGGGCTTCACCAGGGAGCCCTTCTAACACCCAGGGAGCCTTGTGCAAGTGATGTAAACGTTGTTATTCACTGACTGCAGTGATGTTTCCAAAGGAACCACTGATGCACATTGGTATAGTGGGAAGGTGGAGCACGTGGGAGTTGTTGTGTGCCTTTGTTCTCATGTCCCCTGTTCCACTCTAGGCCTGATGGAGAGAAGAAGGCTTACGTCCGACTGGCTCCAGATTACGATGCGCTGGATGTAGCCAACAAGGTGAGAGACATTGGTTGTCTTGTATCTTCCCCACCTGATTGTCCTGATGTACACATGAGGGATTGTGCTCCGAGCACAGTAGCACTTTGGGGTGTCCTGGTAGTAAGACAGGATCCAGGGGTTCAGAAGCAAGACCACTGCTGTGTTGCTGGAAGTGGCGGACAGTTCAGTCCTCGAGGTTTTTGGGGTAGGCAAGAGGGAATGTGACTTAGTGCAAGTTACTGTGGTTTAAATGCATAAAGCTGTTGTATAAGGGCAGGTCTGGGATGAAGAAGCCTGTGCTCAGAGGACAGGAATCCTGGGGAGATGCAGTGATACCTGGTTGGAGGCTCTGCCTTCCTGCCACCGTAACATCCGTTTTAACATGCTTTGCTTCTTTCCAGATTGGAATCATCTAAACTGCATCTACCAAGGACTGTACAGACAGGAGAATAAACCTTGTGACACCACCGAGGGGCTCTTGTGTTTTGTGCCAGCACAGCCTCTGTGAAAGAGAGCACCCAGCCGACTTCTGGGGTTCAGTGAAGGGGGTTCCTGTCTGCTTCCCTGGCGCTGGGTGGGCAGAGCTGCCTGCTCCCTGGGGGATCACACGGGGAGCAGTGCTGTCCTGCTGGTGAGGTCTCCTGCATCACTGACCTTTGCTGTGGGTAAAGCATGAGGTGACAGTCCCCCAGGTCTCAGATCTCTGTATTTACCTCAGGCCTCTGGTATCCTCCTGCATTTTTCTGCCCTGTGCAATTAGCATGTGTTTGTGATTGGTGTCCTTCCTTGTGGAGCATATCCCAGGCTGTTGAGTGCCCAGGAGGGAGGCAGTAACAACAGAAACGTGTGAATGCTTCAGATCTGGCACAAGCCAAGTGTCACACCACTTCCTAAGTGTATCAGCTTATCAGCTCTTTGCTATGTTGCAGGCTTCACTTGATGAAGCCCTTAAGCTAATCCAATAGTAGAGGTGCTGTGTTTTTGTTTCCCTGGTGTGATCTCTACTCCCCACACTGCAGTGTATGAATCACAGCCTGGTTTCCATGGGCACTGTTCCTCTAACCCCACAGGTTCACAGTCCTCATCAGGGCTGTTTTCAAACTTCTTCCTGCCTTGGCAGTCTTTTACTTCCTTGAATTTGTAGATGAAACTGGCGTGTCAGTGTTCGAGAGCTGCAGGAATGTGGGTGAGCAGGAAAGGGAGGCAAAGAACAGGTAAGCTTTTAGAGGTACTTGATCTTAAGTGTGGAGTTAGACCCGAGTGAGAAAGGTGTTGAAAGCTGTGTCCAAATACTGATTGGGCTAATTGAGCTCTTGAGGCGTGGGACATTGAGTTCCTTGAGCCTCTCAGAGTCCTTTGGGGGTGGTTTGCATGTGTACAGGAGAGGGGTGGATGGGAAGGGGGAGCTGCTGCCATAGGGGTAAAGATCTGTGCTGGTTTGTATGGCCCTTGGTTTGAGAGCCTTCAACCTGGTGCTCAGAGCTGCCGTCACAGCCTCACCTTGTCCAAGGAACTGGGATCCTGGGGTTGGAGGTGGGAGCTGCCTGGAAGCACCCCCTTCTCCCTGGCCCTGTAGAATGCTCAGCCAGGCTGGGAGGAGAGGCAGGAGGTGAGGGATGAGAAACCACCCGGAGGGAGGAGCACAGCTTCCCTGGGTGCTTCCCGGGCACCAGCCCAACCTCCTGCCCATGGTCTGGGGAGGGGATGAGCAGCAGCAGGGGCTCAGGGGGGTTTGCCTCACCCCTTTGCTGCCTCCACTGTAGTCACCCCAAGAAAGACAAATGGGGAAAGGTGTCCTTCCTGTAGCAAAGCTGGTACCGCTGCTGGGGTGAGGAGCAGGTTGTGCTGCAGCACAGGCACTGAGGAGTGATTTCACATCAGCATGACTTGCAGTCTGCCTTGACCCTGCACGGTGGCTGCTGCTGCTGGCTGGCTCTGTGCTCCCCTGTGCTTTGCCCCTTGCTCCGGGCTGGCAGCCGGCCTGGTCCACAGCTGCCCCAGCACTGCTGGGAGATGATCCATCTGGAAGCCAGGCAGGGAAAGGGGAAAACAGGGCTTCCTGCTTCGGGAAGCTTTGTCATGCCTGACCCTTCCATGCTGCTGTAAGAGTGGTGGTGCCCTGAGCTGGGATGGAGTCATACCTGCTCTGTGCAGAGAGACAAGGGGAAAGGCGCAGCAACCGGGGTGAGGAGAAACAGATCCTGAGCTTGTGTGGGTGATCTGTAGATGGAGTTGATGCACAGAGGCCATGGGGCTTCAGCTGCAGCCGGGCAGATGTGTATCTGCCAGGACGTGCTGCTGAGGGTTAGGCTGTGCCCTGCTGGGGCTGCTGAGCTCTCTTCTGAGGGTTTGAAGCTGGCGCAGGTCCCTGCCCACATCCAGAGTGTCCTGTTTCTGCTCCAGCTGCCAGGCTATTCCCAGCACCTTCCCTGGTGGCAGTGCATCAAGGGAGCCCCAGCAGCATCCCAGCCCTGTGGGATTCCCCCGCTGCTCCTACTTAACCACCAGCTTCTTCCAGTTTATGTGTGCCTGAGCTGAGGTGGTGGTGGGATGGATCCTGTCCCGGAGCTGAGTCCCTTTAAGCCATATTGCTTATGCCAGTCCGATGTGATCCCTGAGCTGTCACGTCAGCAGGTTTTGCCTTCCCAATGCTCTGGTGTTCCACAGGACTGGCTGGGCTGGTTCTGGCCCCACTGCCCCAGGGAGCTGACCCCTCCTCCTGCTGCTCTGGGCGTGCTGCTGGAGCCAGCCTGGTACTTCCTCTGCAGGGTTGGACCCAGCACCCTCACAGGAGGCTGGAGCTGCTCTGTGCCAATGAAGAGCGCTCCAAGGGGGGATGCAAACATGCAGCAGGCTTCCAGGAAGAGCCCGTGGCCTCACACGGCTTTCCCATGCCAGCTCCACTTCACGTGGCTGCTGGGTGAGTCATGCAGAGCAGCCAGGCTCCGCGCCGCCAGGCAGGAGCCGGGTCAGGGACTGCAGCAAGGCTCCATACCTCTCCTGGCTCCCTTCCCCTGCTCAGCCCCGGCTCTCTGGAAGATGAGTGAGAAGAAGAGGGACCTATCCATGGGAGGGATGGGGTCTTGCTTAAAGGCTCAGCTGAGCTGGTGGGACCAAGAGGCTTGAGTGCACCTCTGGAGGGTCCCTAGAACAGAAATGTGTCCTCTCCATCCCTGAGGACTGCCAGCCCTCCTCTGGGAATGGGGGCACATCCTTTCCCATCACTCTGTTCCCATCACCCCCTCCCTGACCCTGCTCTGCCCCACAGAAGAGCCAGCTCAGGCCTGCTGCGGCAGCAGTAATCAGACCGATTTTAATGCACATAACACCCGACATCACCACGGGAGGGACTCGTCCCTGCCCTCGCAACCCTCTCAGGCCATCAGCTGCAGAATGCAGTCACCCCTGGCCCTCCAGCTGCCCCCGTGGAAACCGGCTTGGGCTGCTTCTCCCTCAGCCGTGCCCCCGGTTTCGGTGGCATCCCTGCGGCGAGGTGAGGCTTTCGGGCTGGTCCGGCAGGGAAGTGCTTTTAGGCGGCAGAGCAGGTGAAGGCAGAGCCCGGGGCTGCGGAGCAAGCCCTAAGGCACATCAGAGCAGGCTGGAAGAGCCCAAAACCTCCAGAAGCCAGAGCCTGGGCCCCCCTTGGCGCGCATGTCTCAGTCTATCAGAAACTTCTCACCATCCACATCTCTCCCCGCAGAGCCCTTCCGCAGGGAGGGGAAGAAATCGGAGCGGAGGAGGCGGGAGAAGTACATGAGGATCATGGCATCGAGCAGCAGGAGGTTGGCGGTGAGGAAGGCACCCTGGCCCTGCACCTCCACGTAGCGGAGGAAGTACCAGGTGAGGTAAGCCTGGGGCGCCAGGCGGAAGGCGAAGTACATCACCAGGTTGACGTACTTGTTGGCCTCGTAGAGTGCCGGGGAAGGCACGTTGCTCATCTTCAGCAGCATGCGCATGGTGAGGAAGATGTTGCTCACCTCCACCAGCAGCAGCAGCATGGCTGCCACCAAGAAGCGGCCTGTGATGATGAGCGAGACGAAGGCAGAGATGGCCTAGGGAACACACACACAGGGTACACAAGGTAAACTCTCCTCGCCCTGGGGAAGGTGACTCCTTCCCTCCCTTGGTCTAGGTGTACCCTCAGTGGGACCACACAGTGCTGCTCCCCACACACAGAGAGCCCCGCAGGCACCTGGAGAACCAGTCTGGAGAGCCAGTTCCCCCAGGACCAGTTCCACCTCCCTGTGCTGGGGAGCTCTTCCCTCGCTGCCGCGGCAGCCTGTCTGGCTCCCGGCGCTCCGAGCCGACGCTGGCAGGAGTCCTGCCCCGCCAGGCACCCTTGCCTTGATGTGCAGCCTACCTGGCAGCCAGGGCGAGGCGGAGGGAAGGGCTCCAGCTTGCCCTGCCATAGCACCCGAAACCTGCATGGGCTGAGCTCTGGGGTGTGTGGTACTGACTGTGCTGGCCCCTCACCTCCCCGGGGTCATACTCACCATGGCGTGGTGCACCAGGTATTCCCACGACGAGCGGGATTGATGGTTGAAGATGATGTCAAGGGTGTCGTGGATGAAGTAGCCTGTGGGACGAAGGAGAACACTGAGGGGATCTGGGTTGTGTACAGTCACCCGCTGCGGTAAGGGGAAGCAGCAATGAGGAGGAGGGTGCTGTGAGTATGCTCCATGTGTTGCACCTCCACCCTGTCTGAGCGTGGGGTGACGGCCAGGCCCCAGGGGCTGGAAGTCTGCAGGCTCCACGCTCATGATTAAAGCGGGAGGTATGGAGGAAAGTTGCCCGGCCCTTAAACCAGGGCTCCCCACAGCCCAGAGTGCTGGGAGAGTGCTGGAGAGGGATTGGGCAGAGCCCAGGGAGTGAC